TTAAGTTAGTCTTCAGTACGTTTAAACTCAGAAACATGTTCAGTGTGAAAGATTCAGTACCGCTAGGTCTACGTTCGCGTGTCATATATAAATTTTCATGTGCTGGCTGTAATGTCAGTTATATTGGTGAGACCACTCGCCACATTTGTACACGAGTTCGTGAGCACCTCTTGTCGGACAAAACTTCGCATATTTACAAGCACCTGCAATCATCAAGGGCCTGTCTTGACTCTTGTGATACTGAATGTTTCACGATCTTAGATTCTGCCGCTTCAAAATACCAAATTAAGATCAAAGAGGCATTGCATATTAAGTGGGAAAAACCTATCCTTAATCAGCAATTGAAACATCTAGAATTGTCTCTTTCCTTTTAATTATGTTGTTCCTTGGTCTTTTAATTTATTTTTATTATTATTACATTTATTTTTTTTATTTATCTATTTATTTTTTGATCTAGTCAAGTGCGCACTATTTACATCTTTCGCGTTTTTAACATTCAAATGTAACGTAAGCCCTGACACGTAGTTTGTAACGTACCTTAATTTAAATTCAAATGTACAACAGTTAAATGCTCATTTGCAACCAAAGATGACATGAGAATGTCGAAACAATTGTCTTGTAAATTTAAACTCAAAGTTGTTGTTTCCTTTTTGAAAGTTATTGTCACTCTGCTGTCTTTACATCCTTTTGAATAAGAATTCTAATCACCATTTATGTTCACACCTTAAAATGGAGAATTGGGGGATTGAATTGGGTGTTTTGATGTAAACATGCATGAGGCCTTGTAAACTCTTCAAAAATTTTTTGCTTGTGTTGTAGGGTCCTCCTGGCCAGAGGGGTGACAATGGATCACCAGGTGCCATAGGGGCTAAGGGAAATGTTGGCTTAACAGGCAGACCAGGTCCCAGGGGAGCCAGAGGATCTGCAGGACCTCCAGGTTTGAAAGGACCAGGTGGTGAGCCAGGAAATCCAGGCAAGAATGGTCCCCAAGGAGAGCCAGGTTTCAAAGGAGAACAGGTACGATGTACTTTGTGCATGATTTCCTTATCTCAGTTTACTTACTTCTATGCATCCATGCAAGCATTGTGAAAGAGGGAATTAGGCCCCAAATGTTCAAATTTGTCACTCCTTCACTCACACAGACAAATGTCTTTGTGGTTCTGTTGGAGGGTGAAATATAAAATTGTCAAGGCTTGTTGAAAAAGAAATTTCCTCTTTTAATTTCCACAAAACTCTCCATTCTCTTAATAGCTCCCTTTCTAGAGCTTCAAGATTCTGATAAGCTGTCTATGTTTCCTTCTTCTGCATAAAAGTATAAATTGTATTTAGTATTATCAAAGCTGGGTAACAATGGAGAAGAAAAAAGGGATCGACTCACATTTGGCCCTCTACTTGATAAGCCATCTTCACCTTTTCAACATGTCCTTGCCTGAATGTCCTTCAAAATTATTATAATTTTGTTATCAGAGCATTTATGATGCATGGACTTATAGCTGGCGGGGAGGGGAGGGAGGAGAAGGCTTACAAAGGCCCATTCACGTGTTTGCTAGCTACAGGTGAACAAGTCGTTATGATGATGAACTGTGACCGTCACAATTTGTAACAACTGTACAGAGGACCACATAATTTATATGCAACTGGATGCATTAGTGTGACCTTAAGTCTTTCAACTGCACCCTTTTCATTCTGTTGTTCTGTAAATATGCTATGGCTTGTGAATGAAGATAAATATTATTTTATACCATATAAGCTTTTCACACATATATCTTCTTTTTGATAATACTATTGTATTGATTTTTTGTTGTTGTTATCTGTAAGGGTGCAGTGGGACCAATGGGGCCTATTGGCCGTATAGGAAGTGCCGGAGCAGATGTAAGTATTTATTTTTAGATTTAATATATACCAAAAAAAGCCTTTGTTTATACTTTGGATATATCAACAAAGTTGAAATGGTAAATTGGCCACTGTAACGATTACAAAAGCTGACGTTTCGAGCGTTAGCCCTTCGTCACCCCTACGCCCTTTGCTCCGATGATGGGCTAACGCTTTTGTAATCGTTACGGTGGCCAATTTACCATTTCAACTTTGTTGATATATCCAAATTATTTCGTTACCCCCACCGACGCAGCCCCAAACAGTTTCTTTCGAAACTATCACCCTTTATTCCTTTGCTTATACTCTTGTTTTTCAACCACTTTCATGTCCACACAAAAAGCTCTTCTTCATGCTTAAACTCCCATATCCAGGGATTTCATTAATTTTGGGTGTAGGTGCATATTAGGACATAAGTAGGTGGTAGACAATTCAGAGGTAATCAAGGCAGATTTGTCACCAGTGGACTTTCTCTTCTGTCCATTTAACATGGTGCACAGCGAACTGATCGTGTTGTTGATTGAATTGTTAGAACTCGTTACAAAAATCACCCAACAACCTAAAAGGAGACTAAATATCCACGATAAACACCTTTATTGATGACTGCCTTAAGAATATATTGAATGTTTTCCAAAAAGCATGCAAACACTGGGAGGTGGAAAAGCCAAAGAACCAGCTCCATTGTGGAGAGTAGCTGCTGGAATTTGCTGGTTGCCAGCTTCTAATGAAATCCCTGCATATCCTATTGGTAATTCTCTCTTCTAGCTGCTACACATTTCCTTGTAAATTATTTACAGGAATTTGATAACAACTTTAACCTGACACGTTTCAGTGTTCTCATTACCTGTTTTCTCGATAATTAATTTTTATGGATATTCTTGGGAGAAGTTACTTGTTAATCACTTCTGGGAGTTAAGGGGTTAATTGATATAGTTGGTGAACTTTCCCAAATAGGAGTTTGTCTTAACAGTGTGTACAACAATGTACCACATAAAGTCAGTTTTTAACTTTATGTAATAATAATAGCATTTTTGCACATGGTTAAATATTGATGTTACTGTTACGTAATGTTACACTGCCCTTGTCTCACCTTCAGTTTTAATTTTTCAGGGCCTTCCTGGTCTTGCTGGTAACCGTGGACGCCCTGGAGAACAGGTTTGTGAATGAATTGAACTTTTTAACTTACATTGGAGATGTTGGGGGTGTTCTGATTTTCCCTGCCTTAAGAGTAAACAAGTCATTGTTCATTTCATTGTTAGGGAGCCCCTGGAAAACCTGGAAGAAGAGGACTGGAAGGTGCTAAAGGACAAACGGTTGGTTGATTATCTCATGACCTTATCTACCAATTAAGATTGATGCTGTAAGTGTAAGCAGAATTTATAGTAGAACTTGAAAATTCAGTAATGATTGCATGAAATTGTATCCTCTATGATTGGTCACAAAGAACTTGTTTTAAAGTAAACAGTGCAGGTGCTTAAAGGAAAACCCTTCATGCTGCAATTTATGCTTATGGGAAAAGCAGAATTTAAAGTAAAACTTGAAAATTCAGTTTTGGTTGCATGGAATTGTGTCCTCTTTCATTGGTCACAAAGAACTGTTTTAAAGTAAACAATGCAAGTGCTTAAAGGAAAACCTTTCATGCTGCAATTTATCCTTGTGGGAAAAGCTAATACATCTTATTGTCAAGTTGGTTCTCTATTGGAAAAGTTCTTTTACTTGCATTTTAATGGTACTGTATTAAACAACAGTGGTCATGGAATTATTTCCTTGCAGAAACGATTTCGAAAGAAATCTGCCACACAGTTAAAATTAATCATGGTTTGATGCACAACATTTTTATTTACGGTGTATGTAAGCAAAAAAATTAGGTTTCAAAAGGGGATGTATGCTTGTAAACTAGCCACAACTATCTATGTTTCCTTTTTATGGAATAATATCAGGCAATCCTGAGCCTTTTGCTTGCTCAGCTTGTGAATCACAAAACAGGTTCCACTTGTTGCTCTGCCAAATGCAAATGAACAGAACAGTCAGACATGCAGAAGGATTGAATGAATTCAAGGTCTGGAATGAAACCCTTTTTTGGGTTCACTTGTTTATTCCTGTGCAACATTTCAGTATGGGGATGATTGGATCTTGGGAGTTATATTATCACGTGTGCATGATATTTTGTTTCATTCTGATGTTACTCGCATGGACTGTTTTGTTACTACATGTCTAGGGTAGCACAGGCACTACAGGTGCACCTGGAAAGCCTGGGCCTCAAGGAAAACGGGTAATGATTGGTATAAATATTAACATAAAATAATCAATTAGTACTATGACTACTGTAAATCCTCTAATAAGTCCCCCAGGGGGCTTATTTATTTCAGGTACTTTGAGGGGGAGGCTTATTGGTGGGGG